GTCGTGATGGTGGTGGTGGTGGTGGGTGCATGATGTTGTGGTCGGTTGGTGATGGTGGTGGATGGTTGGTGGTGGGGTGATGGTAGGTGATGTGATATGATGATGTGGGTGGTGGTGCATGCGTGGTGGTGGTCGATGGTGATGATGATGGATCGGTCCGTGGTCGGTGATGGTGGTGGTGGTGGTGGTGGATGCATGGTTGGGTGTGATGGTGTGTGGTTGGTGGTGGTGTGGTGGTGATGGTGGTGGTTGATGGTGTCATGGTGGTGGTGATGGTGGGATGGTGGGGTGATGTGGTGGTGGTGGTGGTGGTGGTGATGGTAGTGGTGATGATGATGATGGTGGTGGTGGTGATGATGGTGATGATGATGGTGGTGGTGGTGGTGATGATGGTGGAGGTGGTGGTGATGGTGATGATGATGATGGTGGTGATGGTGATGGTGGTGGTGGTGGTGATGATGGTGGAGGTGGTGGTGATGGTGGTGATAACAATAAGATAATATTAAGAATTATTATGTATCTAATTCAAGCCAGGCCTTGTTATTCGCCTGCCTCGTCTCATGCAATCCTCCCAATAGCCGATGGGGTTCAAATGCTCAGCACCCCCATCCCAATGCTCAGGAAACTCACCCAGAAGCATGAAATGCCTTATTCACAAGCACACAGCTAACAGGTGGCAGAGCCAGAATTTGAACCCAAGTTTCAGTGACTCCGGATTCCATGCTCTTAGCAAACGGTTGAGGACTAAGCAGAAAGAGGATGGAGCCTTCCCAAGCACCCTATTTAATACGACGACTGCCCCCATTCCTGGAGTGCACTACCGAGCCCCCTCAGCCTGCTCCACGTCTTCTTTTATCCACAGCATTTATTCTACACTACATAATGTACATGTCTATTATGATAACAACCTATTGTCGGCCTCCCCCAGCCAGAACGTAAACTCCATGGGGACACACGTCTAAGCAGGCATTTCCAGAGAGCAGAACAGTAACCAGCAAAGAGTAAGCATTCAACAAGTTTTGTTGAATGAGTAAACAAACGCTCTTTTGGTTTCAGGCCACAGCTGACAGGACAAGGAAAAGTTAAGATATCCTGGATTTGGGATCCCTTGAGCTTGTTGAAGGAATGAATGAGTATTCTTTGGTTTCAGGCTAAGACTGATCTAATAAGCTGTGAGAAAAGAAAAGTGAGTTAATATTTTCTATCTTTGGGACGCCTTGGGCACTGGGAAGTAAAGATATTTGCAAAACTCAAGGAGAAAACTAAGGTAGCATTAACATCTATCAAATAAAGCTGAGAGAGAGAGAAAGAGAGACAGAGAGAGAGAGAGAGAGAAAGAGAGAGAGAGAGAGAGAGATTACATATTCTTGGCCAAGCACAGAGCAATCTTGCCTCCATATACTTGATATCCATGAGTTTATCGACACGACTTGTAACCCTTCAGCCACTTAACAAACATGTATTGAGTCTTCACAACAAGCTAGAATTCAAGATATCTGGTCTCATCACTGTAGGAAACTCCAGCTCTGCGTTAAGGGCTGGGGATCCCAAAATGAATTTGCTATGACCTTCAAGAAGTAAGAGCCTGGTGGAAAAGACACTAGCTTATTCTTTAATCTGGAAAAACATTAGGGTGAAGGGAAACCACCCAGCTCCCGAGATGGTTATAGGCTTCAAGGAACTAATTCTTTTTGAAGGAAGAAGAAAATTTAAAGCACGATGGATCCTTGGTGGGTGGCTCACGGGTTCCCCCTGGTGGAGATGAGTAGCAAGCACATCATGCAGCTTCCCAGCATTTCCTGCAGCAAATATATAACCTGGGCAACGTACTGAGAATAGCACACACTGGGCCTGAATGCCAAGACACTGAGCCTGAATCCCAACATACTGAGCCTGAATCCCAACATACTGAGCCTGAATCCCAACATACTGAACCTAAATACCAACATACTGAGCCTGCCAGCAGGAAGTGAGACAAGGAAACTGACAAGCACTATAAAGTAGGGTCAGTTGGTGAGAGAAGCATTCATTCATTTCATTCATTCAACAAACGACAGAGTCCTTAATGGCACGAACGTGCCTGTCATGTTAAAGGGAAATCAAGGAGACCAGTGTGGCTGAAATAAAATGAGCAAAGGCGAGACCAGAGGGAGATGAGGCCAGGGAGATGCTGAGGGGCTCAGCAGTGTAGACTTCGTGGGGCCCTGGATATACACGGCGTCCTGGTGGCCGAGGGCCAGTGGTCAGCTCTGCCTGCAGGCCCAGGAAAGGCCTTGCTGAGCACTGGATTTCGGGGTGGGCCTGGGAATGAGCAAGGATTCATCAGAAGGACAAAAGGGGAAGAGAATTGGAAGCAGGCAGATAAGCACCAAAGCTGACTTCACGCCTCCTCTAGAAAACTCTAAGTAATTGGCGGATTTATCAGATATCTAGCTCGAGGGGGAAATGTGAGCAGTGGCACTCCAAGTAGGAACCAAATCCTGAGAAACTCTGCAACCCATAACAAAGACACTCTGCACTTTAAGCCACTGGTGAGTGTTCGCGGCCAGGCAAGGGCAAGGTGCATTTATTCAAAAATACGTACTGAGCCCTCCCCTGCGCTAGATGTTGGCCTCCACCCTGGGAATCAAGCAGTGAGCAGAAACAGGATGTATGGTCCCTGCCCGCTTGCAGCTTACAGTCTAGCAGCGGAGAAAAACATCCATTTAAAAACAAATCACTCCTCCAAATAGGCAGAGATTAAAATGTGATGAGTGGCTCCATCACCTCCAGGAACGGAAGAGGTGAGACATGACGGCAAGGAAACTCAGAGCGGGGTGGAGGATCCTGCACCAAGAAATCTGAGTTGGGCTGACCTCAGCTCTAAGTGCTGCAGGAATTGGGCAAAAGCGGGGGACCGGGCCAGTGCTTTCAAGATCCGAGTGGCTCTAAGGCTGCCATCTGAGGCAGGGCATGAGACACTGAGTCTTAGCTGCCTCGAGGTCAGACGCAGGTCCAGGCGAGGCCGGAGGATCAACAGGGCCAGTGTAAGTTCAAACCATGGGTCACAGCCACGAGTGAGGTGCGAGATGAAAGTGGCGGTCACTATCCACATTTGGCAAGGGATGTGAAATAAAACAGGAAAGCATTTAAGATATTTGCTTACATCATGCATAGTAAGATAAGCATTGTTTCATGAAAGATGCTTCAGTTGTGGTGTGGATGTGCACCCACGTCTGTGTGTATGGGGTTGCAGCATAAATCGTATTGTTACTGTGGGGTTTTTTTGCTTGTTTTGTTTTACAGAGTTTTGCTCTGTTGCCCCGGCTAGAGTGCAGTGGTATGATCATAGCTCACTGCAGCCCACAAATCCCGGGCTCGAGCAATCCTCCTGCCTCAGCCTCCCTAGTAGCTGGGACTGCAGGTGTGCATCAGCATGCTTCGCTACTTTTTTTTAGTTTTGGTAGAGATGGGGTCTCACTGTGTTGCCCAGGCTGGTCTTGAACTCCTGGCCTCAAGTGATCCTCCTGCCTCCACCTCCCAAAGTGCTGGGATTACAGGTGTGAGCCACCGTGACTGGCCGTGACTGGCTCTTGGTTGAAAAAGTTTGGAAAACACCAGATTAGAAGACCTGGCAAGTAATGCCTAGGATAGGAAAAATATGGGTACAACCTAAATTTCCAAAAACAGGAGATTGGCTGAATAAATGTTATTAGTCTATGGGTAGTAAAAATAAAAAGGAAATATATTTATTGACAAAGGAAGATGTTCATGACACAACATTGTAACTTGGTGCGATTTTTTTAAAAGAAGGAAGACTGCCGGCTGCTTCTCGGTGTAGGCAAAGAGAGGAAGTCATCTCAGAACAGATTTTGTGTGTACGGAGTGACCGAGAGGGGCCCCTCTTAGCCATGCTAAAGTTAGGTAAGCATGGTACAGGAAGTAAGGAATGATGGGATCTTTATAGCCAATCACCTGGGGATGGCTTTGCCTCCCTGGGAACACTTGGAAATATCTGGAGACATTTCTGCTGTCATGACCTGGAGTGGGGTAGCAAGGGAAAGGTTCAGGGTGTGCTGGAAAGGGAAAATGCCAAAAGGGCACACACAGGAGATCTAGGACAATGACCTGTTTCGAATACGTTCTGTGTTGAGCACAGCTGCATCCTCGGCCCTGCCGGCAAATAATAGTCACTCAGCAAATACCTGCTGAATGTCGCATCAAGCCAGGGGCGTGGGCCAGTCTGGGCTCGGTCGGCGGTCAACAGTGCCACCTTGTGGCGGGAGCCGAAACAACAGCGCTGTGGGCCAACGCCACTGCCCTGTGGCTGCACGGCGGGTCCCTTGGGACTGAAAAGCCCCAGAAAATGTGGGAAAATGGTGAGAGTAGAGAGGGAAGCAGGAACCCACGAGAGGATGATACCTGATGTTCTGCTAATAAAGGCAAACGAGAGTTCATTTGTCAAACGAGCAATGAATTGCAAAGACCCAGGAGAGAAGACAATATAACGGGATCCCAAACTGATAAAAACAAGTCGCAGAGGGAATTTTCTTAGGCGGAAGAAAAAAACTAAAGTTCCAAAATAATATGTATGAATAATTCTATTTTTTAAAAAAAAAAGTATACACATATCTGTCTGGAAAAAAACGTATACCTAATGACAACAGTGGGTCCTTGGGGGTGGGGCTTAGGGTGTTTATTTCTTGATCTATGCTCTAATGTGTGTTGCAATGAATGCACAGCATTTATGCAAAGAAAAATAAGAAGCTGGACATGAGCCGGAACACCAAAGGCACTGCAGAATGTCTAAGGGAAAAACCATTCTGGTCTTCCCACATGCCCAGTGCTTTCTTGCCTGCACCTGCACCCTCACGCCTTTCTTCCAGCCTCCAAACCCCAGGCCCGTCCTTCCTGGCCCTGCTCGGGGGCCAGGGTCGCCACGCAGGGACGACTCTGTCCCGCCCTGGCCTGCAGTGGCGGTCACAGGGTATGCACCTACGAGCAAAGAGCCCGGCGCTCACCTGACATGTGCACGTTCCTGAGGCAGGACAGGGAGGCGTTGAGGCGGGCACACTCCTCCCGGTTGGCCCCGTATTTCTCCACCGTCTCGCACACCTGCTCGTCCGTCATCTCCAACAGGTCCTCCAGACTCAGCTGGCCCGGGGAGATTTCCTAGCAGGTGGGACAGAGGAGGGTTGTAAACAGCCGGGCAGGAACAACGGCTAACCCTCCACACTTGCCCCTCCCGTGGTGGCGAGGGGGCGGCACACAAAATCCCGGGGCAGACAGGCCTGGGTTTTAATCTCAGGTTTGCCACCCATTAGCTAAATAACCTCCGGCAAGGCACTTAACCTCTCAGGGCCTCACTCTTCTCACCTGTAAAATGGGTCTCCTAAGTGTGCATGCTTGGCAAGGTAGCCCGGATGCTCAGGGCTAATTAACGACTATGGTTTTGTGATGGACTCAGCACAAGGTCTGTCTCCTCGGTCAGCTTCTGAACCAACCAGGAGGCCAGGCCCCATTTTTTTAAAAGACGATTCCTAATCTGACTGCAGTGAGCGACTCGTCCAAAACCCCAGCGGGAACCCAGAGCAAGCCAACTGCACCACTCGAGTCAGCTGATGGCTGTTCTCCACCCTCTGCTTCCTCTCTTCCCCGGCCACAGGGTCGAGGCTCAGATTGGTCCCTAGAAACCCTAAGGGGAAAGAGGCCGGGGGTCTGTGGGTGGCTCAGTGCCGGCAATGAAGCTGGATTCGTGAGTGAGCCCCGCGGCCCACGGCTTTGCACCCCAAAGCAAAGGGGTAATGCTGGGGTACAGTGTGGGGTGAGGAAAGGGACACTTCTGGGGAGGTGGGCTGGGGACAGAAAGGAAGGATTCGCAGCTACTAAGGTCCCTTGGGCAGGTGGCCCTTCACTGCCACCAGCAATCCTACCCTGTCTCCAAAAACTGTCTCCTGAGACACCACAGCATGGATACACCTCGAAATGTGTCAGGCTGCTATATTCATGCACCTATAAGTATATCTGCATATGCACGTAAGAGTCTTTTATGGCACTTAATGGTATCCAATATTTTTACATATACTATTATTACCATATTATTTAAATAAGGGTTTGCAATATCTACAGCTCGTGATACTGGGGCAATATTGTGGGGCACGTCTGCCCTCTTGTGGCCACGTTTGTGTATTACAACAAAACACAGTTTTCCCACATTAAACTGACAACCAAGACTATATCAGCACAAAAATTCTATCCTCCCCACCCCTCCAAAAAAAGAGCTGCAGGGAAAAAGCTGAAGCCCAATCAACGCCTTCCAACTCAGGGCAGGGGCAAAGAGAGAACAGCAATGGCATCACTTAGGGGCTTTCTCAGATAGAGGTACCTTACAGGTAAGCCCCGCTTTGAAAACGGTGATTAAATCAGGGTCAGAAGGTGCAGAATGAATCACGTCTAGAGGGGATGACTCGCAACATAAAAGGATTCTCCTCTTTGCTGCAGGATTCGCTTGTGCATTTACAAATATCTATGTGTATTACATATACATGTATGATTTACAAATATATACAAATGTGCACTCAAGTTTAAGATCACCAGAAAATCACAAAGGCACACATTTGTGACACTGAAAACGGGGAAAGCCTCAACAAACCTGGTCCGAAGAGCAGATGCAGCACTGTTGAAAGTAAAACTAGCAGCTGAAATGGATGAAGCACCGTTTTAAGTCCTTTTCATGGATTTTCTTTTAATGTCACAAAGACCACAGAAAGTAGGTACTTTTATCATCACCATACACAGAGTAGGATACTAAAACTCAGCGAGGTTAGACTACTTGCCTTGGGGCACACAGCAAGGTAAATGTGGAGCTTTCCCCAGGGTTTGAATCCAGCTAGTTCACCGGGGAGCTTTCTGCATACTTCGGTTCCTTCCCAGAAGGGCGACCTCTGGTGGACACGCGCCTGAACTGCAGGCGGGGAGCTGGAAGCCCAGCCCCGCCCCCAGCCCCTGGCTCAGGATTCTCATGGACTCAGGTGAGAGCCCAAACTCAGGCACCTGCAGGCCAGGTAAGTGCAAATGAGCAAAGCACTGAAGGGCAACCAATCCCGTTCCTCGCAGCCAGACTGGAATTTAGTTCACTGTGGTCAGCAATCCTGATTTTTCCAGGGAAACAAGAGGTGGTCTGGTTTTTCTAGGCAAACTCTTTTCGTTTTGTTTGTTTGTTTGTTTGTTTTTGAGACAGAGTCTCGCTTTGTTGCCCAGGCTACAGTGAGTGCCGTGGTGTCAGCCTAGCTCACGGCAACCTCAAACTCCTGGGCTCAAGCAATCCTCCTGCCTCAGCCTCCCGAGTAGCTGGGACTACAGGCATGTGCCACCATGCCTGGCTAATTTTTTCTATATATATTAGTTGGCCAATTAATTTCTTTCTATTTATAGTAGAGACGGCGTCTCACTCTTGCTCAGGCTGGTTTCGAACTGCTGACCTCGAGCAATCCGCCCGCCTCGGCCTCCCAGAGTGCTAGGATTACAGGCGTGAGCCACCGCGCCCGGCCTCTTTCCCCTTTTAAATAGTGGCTCCAAATACATTTTTGAGCATCGTATCAACCAAACCAAGACCATGTCTGCACATCAGATCCGGCTCCAGTGCCACCAGTTTTCCACCCCCTGGTCTGGAAGGATTGCTTCTGTCTTATTCACCCCACAAGTGGCACTTGATAAAATAAATGATCCCTGAATCTCTGAAAAGCACACAGGGCTGTACAAATAAAACACTGTCTGTATTTATACGGGACCTTCCACTGTAAGGATATTCGCAGGAAACCCCACCTTGGCTCTCTGGCCATCCTGGGAATGAAATAAGAGAATGTGGAATCGTGCACAGTCGGGGGTGGAAGTGGGGGGCACGGAGGAAGGGGGCGCTGCACCAGGGTCAGGGCTGTTAGATCTGGTGGGGTCAGGCAAGATTCTTGTCCTTGGGGACAAGGTCTGGAAAAGACAGAAGGCTTCCTTGAGAAGGAAGCAGGGAGCACCCAGAGAAAGGGCTCTTGGTCCCACAGGCAGGAGGTACCCCCTCTTCTGCCCAGCTCCGGGAGGCCCCAACAATAGGAGAACGAGGCTGGAAGCACAGTGATTCCAACCTAAGGCTCTGGAGTCCAGCTGAGCCGGGTTTCCTGCTAGCCCCAGATACTCACTAGCTAGACAAGTCGCTTCCTCCCTAAGCCTCAGTTTCCTGCTCTGTACAATGGGAACAACAGCATAGCTAGGCAAAGGGCCTTTGGGAGGGGTGTGAACAGTCTCAACAGTTTTGTGCAAAGCCCTTGGAACAATGCCTGGCACAGAAGATCCAATGATAGGAGCTGCTTTTATTAGGAACAGGATCTCAGTGGGTTCTTGAGGTCCCAGGAGGGAAGGAGACCTCACTATCCTTGAGGTCTTAGGATGGGGTCCAGTGGTTGAGTGGTTGAGAGTGGACACAAGACACGGGGTGCTCTGGCTTGGTTTCGCCACTGGAAAAACCTATCACTTCAATGGTTTCCCACACTGGCAGCGACAACAGCAGTTATGAGTTGACAGTTACTGAGTGCTATTCGGTAGCAGACCATGAGCTGAACATTTTGTAAAAATCATCTCTCTTTATCACGCCAGCTACTTAAGAGGAGGGGACAGTCATTATTCCCAGGTGACAGAGGAGAAGACTCACGCTCTACAATCATGCTGTCCAATATGGCAGCCACTGGCCACATTCACTAACATTAAATACAATTAAAACTTCGGTTCCTCAATCACACGTACGAGCCACACGTGGCCACTGGCTGCATCAAACAGCACAGACAAGAAATATTCCCACCGTACTAGAAAGTTCCATGAGACAGCACTGGTCTAAGAGGTAGAGTGAGTTGGCCAAGGTAACCTCATGAATAAGTGGCAGAGCTGAAAAAGAGTCTCACTGAGTCTAGAATCATACCCTTAATGACCCCGCCGGGTGGCATCGGAGATCCCACGTGCCTTCATCCAGCCACATGTGTACTGAGGGCCTACTGTGTGCCAGGGACAGTGTTGGGCATAGCCAAAAACCTGCTGCCCAAGGAGCAGCCAAGGGGACAGCTGTGGGCAGGCAAGGGGCAAGGGGCATGGGGCCCCCTCGGGTCACCTCCAGGACTTCCTTGCGCACGTCCACGATCCGGAACCAGTGCCGTAGCTGGGGGAAGCCGTCCAGCTCGGCGTTGCGCTCCTGCAGGGCCACCTTCTTCTTGCAGGACAGCTGCCGGCTGAAGTACTTCACGAGCTTGCTCTGCGGAGACACGGAAGGGACAGAGGACACGTCACAGAGCCGCCGTCGCAAGGAGGAGAGGCGGGAGTCCCCCCACCCACCCCCCCAGCCAAACCCCAGATAACTCCGTGTTTTAAAGACTTTGGTTCAACTGCAGCGAGATCCCCTTGGCGTGGCTGAAGGTGGCCGGACGGTGTGGCTCCAGCACCTTGCTGGGCGTGACACGCAGCGGCACCTCTTGGGTGGGGGCCTTTGGCTGCATCCTTTGACATTTCAATCGCACACAGCCGTTGGCTCTGACAACTCCTCTTCTAGAAACTCATCGGACACACCCATCCCGTGTCCAGAATGACTCTGGACAAGGCTATTTCCTTACCGGTTCTATTTGCAACAACAAAAGACTGCAAACACCCTGAAGACCCATCGGCAGGAAACTCATTACACACACACGACACTACGGCCACACGAGGAGCTCGGTGTAGCCACCGAATAAAACGACAAAGCACACTCCGTAGTGATATGGGACGGTCTCCAAGACACACTGACACATAAAAAATAAATACGCTCCCATTCATAGGGAAAACGTTTCCACGTATCTTTGTAAATGGAGGGGCTCTTTCTGGAAGGATCCCCCAGTCCTCTAGGGAAGAGAGGAAGAGGAGAGGCGGTGGAAATATTTTGTTTCGACCCTTCTGGGCTGTCCGAATGCAAGTCACAGGCAAGCATTCAAAAAATAATGTTTTTAAAGTGAGAGGGACCTGAACTCACGCTTTCTGGAGGAAGCTTGTGACACGAGAAAGGGAAGTGAAAGATTTGCATTTCTAGTTCTGTAAAAGCTAACAACATTAGCAAAAGAAAGGTAATACTTGTGTGTCCAAGCAGAGAAAAATATATGGAGGAACTTCAGGCTCATACCGTGAGAGAGACTACAGAAATGGGTAGAGGAGAAAAATGGCTAAGTGCTTCTTTATATACTTTTTTGGCATTGTTTCAATAGTTACGGAAGTATATTCTCATCTTTGTAATTTTAAATGTATTTAATGGAGATAACTACATGAAACAAATTCAAAAATTCTCAAGAATGTCTGTGGCATTTCAAAGCGTAATCAACTAACATCTCTCAAAAACACTGGTTTGCATGGAATAGAATGAGGATTCCCAGAGCGTGGGAACGGTGGTAACAGGGAGGGGAAGTAAAGTGGGGACGGTCACTGGGTGCAGAAATTTATAGTGAGATAGTCAGACAGAATGAACAATATTTGATAGCACCACAAAGTGACTATAATCAACAGTAAGTCAGGGCACATTTTAAAATAACGCAAAGAGTGGAACTGGAATGTTCCTATCGCAAAGAAATGATAAATGCCTGGGGCGATGGATACCCCAATTACCCTGATTTGATTAATTCACACCGTATGCCTGTAGCAAAACACCACGTGCACCCTATAAAGATATACAACCATTATGTGTCCATAATAATTAAAAATTTTTAAAAAAAACATAGTCTTGAAATTCTACGGTCACAATATGTGAGGCCAGGATGGCTGTAGTAGGTGTCTGCCTACTTGGTCTCCATTTCTGCTTTTTCTGCAAAAAAAAAAAACCATTTCAGCTTTCTTTTGGGGACCTCCCTTCTTCGATTTCCAGTCCGTATGGCTGAAGTGAGGTTGCTCCCATCAGCCGGCACCACCCTGGCTGCAGGGTGGACACGTGACCCAGGCTCGGCCACACGGTCACATCTGAGTCAAGGACAATTAAAGGACCCAGCTGGGCCACTAAGACTTGACGCCAGGGAGGCCGATTGGGGACTTTTAATCTCCAGAACTGCCAGTTAATAAACCTGAGAGCCCTCCCAGGACCCCGTCTTCCAAGCTATCAGGACACTGTCCCTGTTCCCTACGAGGGCTGCCAGGGAATGTCACAGGAGCCAGGAGCTGCCTGGGCCACCAACCCAGCTGCCATCTGGGAGCCTGCCTGAGCCCAGAGCCCATTTGGAGGAAATCAGAGCCGAGAGGTGGAGGCACTTGGGCGGAGCACATTTGCTCACAGCCACGCAGCTAGTGAGAAGAGAGCCAAGATTCAAACCCAGGCTGACTCCCCAAACCCCCAAGGTTATAAAAAAGATACATTTATTTCAGTTTACTTTCATTCTTTAATAAACACATGCATATATTTTCCTTGCAAAAGAAGTTAGAACATTTCAGACAAGGTCAAAGAAGTGGCCCCCTGTCTCCCTTAGCGCTCCAGTCCTCCCCCAACTCCGGACCCGGGTCGAGGATGACTTGGAGGAAGAATCTGCACCCACCCCCTAGAGAAAAATCTATTATTATTATCTTAATCTACGCCCCCAAAATGTCCCTCCCGCCGTGATTGACGGCGCATACACCTGTTCCCCTCGCCGAGGACCTTCCAACGCTGGGGACAGACATTCGCCCAAAAGCTCCGTGGCAGCCCAGCAACCACCCGCCCGCCCGCCCGCACCAGGCCAGCCCCCGCCTGCGGCCCCAGCGTTTGCCCACTCCCACGAAAGCGGGTCCCCGTCCCCCTGGAGGTAATGGAGGTGACCACTGAGATCAGTTCAGTGCCCATCTTTCCAGAACTTTCCAGAACTTTCTCTGCGCATTCTCGTACACGCACGTGCCTGGTGAGACTCTGCAGTGCAGTTTTACGTAGGATTGTTTTGTTCTCACATAAATTGTATGAAGCAGTGTGCATTTTGTGTGGGTCGCTTTTTCACTTAGAGGTAAACCTGGGGGGGTCTTGCCATGTTGGCTCATGCAGATCTGTCTTACTCTTTTTCATCTTCTGCGTGAGGGATTCCTTTGCTACCTGGTCAATCATTTTTAATCCATGCAACCCGGCTGGCTGTGAAGCTGATATTTTGAGCTTATTCTGTGAACGGGAAAACCGAGGCTTCAGCAGATCAAATCACATTGCCCAGGTCCACAGAGGTACTTAAGGGGTTGGGGGAGCCAGGGTTTGAGCCCAAAGCTCTCTCTCTTTACCAGGTCCCTGCACTATGAGTTGGTTGTTCATGGCTTCTTCCCACCGAATTGAAAATCCAAACGTTGGGCATCAATCCCTCAAGGGCAGGGAGAGGGGGGCGTTATGCATTTTAAGAAGGCTTCCAGGTATTGTGGGAGAGGTGAGTTTCCAAATTCCAGCTCTGAGGTTTGGGAAAGTCGCTTTAGCCCTCTGAACCTCCACTTGCTCATCTGTAAAATGGGCGCATATATCACCTTTCCCCACAGGCCTGCTGAGATACCCCACGAGATGCCGTCTGTGCAGAAGACACGCCCCACGCACCCATGTCTTGTTGTTGAAGCAGTACTTGGATTCAGGGCAAGTGTTTCCAGGGTCACCCAGAGACTAGAATCCTGTCCCTGCCCAGGAGCTAGAACCTAGGGGTGTCCCCACTATGATGCAGCAGAAACGAGGGGACAGGGTCAGGAAGCAGGTGGAGTGAAGAAGCCGGGTGGGGAGGGTGGCCTCGGGTTCTAGCCTTCCCCTGGAGGCCAGCAACAATCCTGGGGGACCTTCGGGGACAAGGCTGTGTTGGTCTGAGCACACAAAGCCCAGAAAACCGTCCAGAAAGTGAAGCCGGAGCGGGCAGAGATAGAGCAGGACTTCCCGCATGGGGACTCGGAAGCCTGTCCCCACATTCCCCACCGCCGGGTCTCATAATCACCGTAGCTGCCAGCGAGCAGGGCTTTGCTCGGAGCCGAATGCTGCGGTGAGCACTTTTTATGAATTGTTCTATTGCATCCTCACAGCGACACTGTGACATAGGTCCAATGACTGTCCCCATTTTACAAAGGAGAAAATCGAGGCCCAGAAAGGTCCAGTGACTTGCCCAAGGTCATCACGCCACTCACTGGGTGAATTGGGATTTGAACCCATGCCTAACAAACTCTATTGACTCACAAAGAACGTCACGCCACGGGAGACAAATAGCAGCCAAAACAACAGGTATAGTATATACCTGGTTTGGGTTTTTAGTTTTCATTTCAGTGCCACTAAGTCTTTATTTATTCATTGTATTTTCCCAGGGAAAGTAGAAGAGAAAAGAGCCAGCACGTTGTGTTACAGAATGATTAGAAAATGGGAAAGAAGTACCCAGTATAGCAAAATCAACCACCAAATAAACACATCCCAGGGTAGGGTCATCAAAGCCCCAGGGGGCGCAGTCTTTTGCAGTCCAGGAATGAGGGGAAGGGGTCAGGAAAAGAAGAGACAGGTTCCCTCCCCCCCACCCAATAAATTCGAGGTTTCACACAAAGCTTTGGTTTCCAGCAGCAAGCATGGAGTTACTGAGCATAAAATGCATGTGTGTGTGTTTACATATACGTGTGTGTGCACACGTATACACACATACACACACACAGGCCAGAAGGAACTTCCCCAAATGTGAGCAACTACATCGTTGGGTTATTACAGGTGAGATTTGTTTGCATATTTCTGTGCGTCTGTATCTTGTAATTTTTCTACAAACTCGAATTACCTATATGATAATTAGTTACAAATCTCATGAAAAGCAGACACTTGCCGACAATGAAGACACATGGGTCATCCTAAATGTCATCCATCTCATTAAATAAGTTCTATATACGTGTATACATATACACACACACGCACATGCACCAGGCATTCGCTAAGCGCTTAATATACATTATTTCATTGAATCTTCACAACCGCCTCAGTAACGTGCCCATTTTACAGATGAGAAAACTGAGGGCCATAGAACTTAAGTAGGTCTCCCAAGGTACTAGATCATTTTACATCATTTCCCTCTTTCCCCAATTTCCTGATCGTAAGAATTGGGCGAGGATGTCTGTTACAAATCAACTCCCCCAGGCCCCTCCCTTAGAAACTCTGACTCAGGGAACGTGGAGAAGGCCCGGGGATCTGTAAGAATGACAAGCACCCCAATGATGCTGAGGATCGGCCAGACCAGCATGAGAAACATCCGTCCAGTGTCTGAGTTATCGTGTAAAATGAGAGCAGTTTGTTTCCCAGACGAT